CCTGGTCATCATACCTGTGTGTGGTTGACATACCGACCAGTAGATACTGTGAATAATGTAAGACATATTATTATTATTATTATTATTAATATTATTAATAATAAGTAGTGGCGGGCGATGTTTGACATATGACATCCGTTGTCGTGATGACGCACTGGGTGTGAAGATTCAGTCGGGACGCACAGCACGAGAATAAGCAGATAAACAGAATAAAATATTTAAATTATTCTGTTAAAATAGTGTGTTATCAAATGTTTTCAAAAACTGTCGTTGCTACTTTTGTTCATAATTCAATTTAAAAATTAATATAGGTAAAGAAAGAGAAGATATTACGGATCTCAACAAAACGAGCGTAGATTCTACTTCCCGATCAATACGATAGTTTAATTTTCGTACGTTAAATAAATCAATCAATGTACTCAAAACCCCCTTAAATAATATTTCTCTGTAATAGATTTATTTTTATTTTACCCGAGTTTTCTTTTTAAAACAGTAGGTTTTAATTTCATTACAGTATTTGTAATCAGCAACATGGAAAATACTACCGTATTTCCATATTTCTACGCATATTCGCTAATTCTTTTACAGTTAGTGTGCCACTTTGAAATTTGAAATTTCATTATGATACTCGAAGTATAACATTTCGACAACCCTGCAAACGTATATTTTTATCCATTTTCGTTTGTTTTAATGAGTCGATAAGCCATTTTCAACTCGCCATTTTGAATTTCGAATTTTCATTATGATATTCGAATTGAGCGAACCCAAAAAAATCCATGTTATCTTTTTCTCGCAACAAGACTAACTGACATACTTCGCTGACGAATCACACAAGACACGTGACCAGATCTCGGAAAGGATAACGCCAGCAGCTACTCATGGACAGAGAACGCCAGAGTAGAGAGGTGGGTGAGCCCCCGCGTAATAATGCTACAACTGACAGAGATATGCGCACTGAATTAGATTACAGATTTGGCACTTCGTTTCAGACTAGAAAATCGACGAGTTAAATAATTACAACGCTATGACTTTGTAATTGCAGGCGGCAGAAGTTTACTCAACCATTCGTAATAGGGTAGACGTTTATTAGACAAAAACATTTAAAACTGTCTTAGTAAGACCTTAGGTTGAAGCTTTGTTTGTCCTCCGTTGACACCCCGTATTGTACAGATGTAAACATGTATATTCAGCAAAACCTGTTTTATCACGTCACAAATGATTGAGGTAAACATTTGCCATTAATTGAGGTGGCCACTTAATGAAGGTGATATTACTGCAAGCTTAAATGAAATCCAATTGAGCTAATTTCTAAGAAATACTGTTCTTTTTAACATTTTTAATATCCATACATGACAAAGTGCAATTTAAACAAAGCAATTAAGGTCACTTGCTTCCCCTTGGCTAAAATGTTTGACATGACACTCATTCCAGAAAATCACTTTCCGACCTCACAGAATCCAACAAAGACTATAAGACGCAATCGTGTATAAATTTCACAGGTGCGCCGTCTGACGCAAGATTTTAACACCTTCAGATCAGTTTTGCGCACACGACATCCTCCACGAGCCTTAACAGATTCTCACAGAAGGAAAGAACGAGCAATCAAACTAAAGGAATGCTTTGCAAAGGTCGAACCGAACGCGTTGTTCCATTAAGATATATTTATTAAACACATCTGTGTTTACCAAAATAAGAAATTAACCCTCCTGCCTGAGATCGGCCTTTTTGGCCTTAAGCCGCCATCCTGATTGAGGTTTTACTGAGTTTACTCAATCGCTTGAGACGCATCCCGGGATGGTCCCTTGTTTGCAGTCCCAGATATAATGTATACATCGTTGGCTTACGGATGGGAGAGGTTGGGTTGGATTTTCAAGTTTTGGGAATATTCTAATTGGTAAACATATTCTAAATTTTCATAATTTCTATTTTTCTAGTACGACGTTCAAATGAAAACCATTCCTAAAATTGAATTGAAAGTATCCATGTTTTTAATTCTTTTTTACTTAATTTAATAACAATAGTTTTAGAATACATTCTCATATTATTATTAATAATATTGTTATTATTATTAGGAAATACAAGTTTTATCATTAAGAAATACATTATCTTGCAATATTTTCCATTCTCTTCAGACATGAACTCTTGACTCTGTGTGTTTTCGCTCGTATGCTGACATTATTCCTTCCCTTTCTAGTTTTTTAGGGGTAATTCAAAAACTCGTACGCAATCTTAGCTTCTTTAAAACCTCTTAGAAATAATTAGAAGTACTTATTAACCTTTCACTAACTTAAACTAGCTCTTCCCAATTATCTACTGTACATAACTTGCTGCCAAACTATAATTTCTCAAAATTTGAGTAAAATCTCGTACCGTTCAATCTAATATGATGATTAATTTTAATACATCGCTAACTTGAACTAAATAAATAAATTTAATCTCAGAAATGCGGTGAGAGCATTCCCTTCTCTATGAACTCCTTCCTGCCTCGCTTTTATTCCTCTATTAAACGTGAGAAACCCCCTCATCCAAATTGCGTACGTATTTCTCTTTGAATGGCTTTCTTTTCATGAACTATTGAATTTATTTATTTATTTATTTTTTGAAAGTGGTCAGTAGGAAGAGGAGGCTAAATGGCTTGAGTCTCGCCAGCAATAAAGACCTTTATTCATTTTTATTTATTCTATTTATCAGCGACTCTGGACTTTGGATGTTACTTTTAGAAGTAATCTGACAACACTTCATGTCCCAGAAAGACTAATGATCCTAGTAGTTGACGAGCCAAATCTCTTATCGTCGAAGACATCAAAAAAACTCCATTACGTTGCCGCTTCTTTTTAAATACAGTTCAACATCGTTTGAAAAGACTGCTTAATGAAAAAAAATCTAGAAATGTGCCTAGCCGTTGGCATCTGAAGAAAGGGAATATGTATACAACATTACCACAATACAATATCGTTATTGGAGTTGACAGCTTAGTGGAAAGGGGAAACGGACGAACGGTCGTACTGCCACATAGACAAACGGACAGATCGACGGGCAAACAAACGGAAAGACAGAGACGGAAAGACAGAGACGGAAAGACAGAGACGGAAAGACAGAGACGGAAAGACAGAGACGGAAAGACAGAGACGGAAAGACAGAGACGGAAAGACTGTTGTTTACAGTTTACAAAAGAAATTAATGTGAAGTTGTTCAGAAAGAAGAATTAACATATAAATAAAAAAGTACTCAATTTACATAATTCAACTGCTTCAACTAGTTACAGCAATTTTATTTATTTTGTACATAATGAAAGATATATCACACACATGTGTTCTAAAATGAGAAAGGAAATGGCTGGGTAAAAGCAGGTGGAGTCCATAGAAGTTTTGGAGATATCCACCAGAAAATTGAAGATACAAACTATGATTACAACAGATTTCTCAGAATTACAATAATTCTTGGAATTTATTGGTTATTAATAAGAAGTATTTTGAAAGGGAAGTCTTGCTTCATTTCATAACAAGGATAATACGTTTTTAACAATTAAAATTCTCTTCAATTTTTCAAATGCAAACTGAAGTGAAAAATTAGTATAAAAAGACGAAATTCCCAAGACCAAGAGGAGAGAAGACAAAAGAAGGAAAAGACACAGAAAAGGGGGGCACATGAAAAAGACAAGAAATGAAATGATATTTATCAGCAAAACTGTTGAATTGAATCATTTTTAATAAATATACTGGTACTTACAATATTTCCAGATTACTGAGACCCCTCAGAGCTAGTTCATCAATACAGGTTATCTGGTTGTTATCAAGTTGTCTGAAAACAAAAACAAAGTCTTACTGCATCATTTACTTCAATTCATTACAAGGGTGTAACAGAATGTACATATACACTGTACTCAAACGAACTTCGCACATGCAACGTGAAAGTGCATCTATAGAAAGGCAAAAATTTGAAATTCTTTTGTCATCGTTATTTTTTAGTAAACACGTGTTGTTGAGGCTGCGAAATATTGCTTAGATGAGTTGAGAGAGCAATAGTAGAAACTGCAACGAGAACTTCTTTGCATCGCCTTCTGAGTTCTCAAAAGATGAGAGTTGTGGAAAAAAGCGACACTTAATTGACAAAGATTATTACTTTGCCAAAAGAATAAATGAGTGTAGATGAGATGGTCATGGTTATCTCTCTAGTTACGAATTTTATGTCATTCTTGCTTTCTGCTTTTTTTCTCCGCGTCTTAGCACTCGTTCAAAGAAACTACACGATAATTGCTGGTTGCCAATATATCACAAGCTTTCAATGCGGCAATTTTCAAATCGATATGGCATAATATTCTGGGGAAATACATATTATAACTCCCGGACTTTTAGATTACAAAAAAGAATTGTACGAATAAAAAGCAAATCCCACCCACGTGATTCGAGTAAGCATCTCTTTATTAATCTAGGTATTTTACCATTACCTTGTCTCTTCATATATGAATCTGTGTTTTTTGTCAAAAATGACGTATTAAAGGCGGAAATATATTTTCAGTAAACACCGTTGCCTATAACTACAACACTCGACGTAGTAATCATATTCATCAGGCGGCAGTATCAACAGCTCACTACAAAAAAATCACATTTGATACATGTACATTATTTTACACCTTGCCAAAAGTTATTAAACGATTAAATTAGATACAAAAGTTAAAGTCCCAAGTAAAATCTCTTCTGTTGCACAACAGTTTATATACAATTAGAGACTATACCGAGCATCCAAAAGGAAAGTAATATTAATTTTAACCACATTTAATGTATTATTTTCCATTTGGATTGTATAATTCTAAAGAACCTATAACTAGTATGGTACTTCAGCTTCTGTGTCAATGGCCCCCATCTCGATCAGGGATTACCTGATACTTGAGCAAATGCTGATATGGCCCCTTGTTTTGCTTCTGGACATAAATGTAACTTCGATTTAACTTCTCCCCTTATCACGTCACACACAGTTATTAACGGTCTGTGACGTAAATAAGTGAATAAATAAAACGAGAAGAAAATTGAAAATGAATTAAGGATTGCAATTGAATAAATATGTCTCTTTCGGAACCTTTTTCGTTTATACTCTTGTGAGAATTTTTTTCAGATAAGTGGTGATACATATCTTTCCAGTGTCGGAAGAAGAATTTATCAAGTGGTTGGATTTCTCCTGTAGTTCCGGGAGGTATCTGGAGGTATCTCTAATTCAGATGTCTTACCTGGAAGACACTGGATGTGTTATTCACCAACTTTCATCATCGCATTTCGCGTTCAAATCCACTTTCCTCTGTATTGTACACAGAAGACAGTGAGCAATGTGAAAATCACTCTTTGGCATTTTCGAGAAATTCATCTGCATCCACATTCAATTTTTTCGTCGTTTACACGAGTGCGTGATAAAAGTTTTGTTATTTTACTGCTCTCAATTTTATGTGTTTTTTAAAACGATTGATCCAGGTGTGACGGGTGGAAAATTTCGTATTTTCGTTGCAAGTTGTGAAATTTCCACGGTTCACTGTCATCATCATTCACATTTTGATTTGTTCTTCTGTCAAGTTCAAATCGAGACCAAAGTTTCTCATTTATATTTTTTGTTTGTGTTCTCGTGGATTTGCTGTCATGTTTTCCACTTGCATCTCCCATAAATATAGTTGTCGCTCTGACGTCAAGCTGAGAAAATTTCTACGAACATGTGATATTCAATATCATTTTTTACCGCCCTCTTTCAACCACAATTCCACGGTTACTTTTCTTGTAGCTAATGCTAACATCTTCATTTGTATTTTTCACAGGGCTTAGATAATAAACTGATCCGGAGGATTTGCAGGGTGACTGACATTTAGTATCTTTAGTTTCCGGGGATTCGGTTCTGATTCTTGCAAACACATGCCCATATCACCCGCGGTAGAAGTATGCTCATTGCAGTCTGTATCACTGCCACTATCACTTGATTCACAAACACTTCCTTCACATACATCGAGGGTTCATTCCTCATTACGCTCCACTCCTGTGCTATTATTTTTTATCAATTCAATAATCAATGATCAATGATGCATTGACCTATGTCTCGTTCTTTTTCATTTACACTTCCCTAATCTATGTCACGAAAGTAACTCAATATGATCTCGACTAAGTTAACGGAATTTAAAACAACTTGCTCTGTGGCCATTGCAGATGTTCTTTCTTCCGTACCATGGAAAGATGAGCTGGGCGCTAACCTACGCAGCCCTAGTTTATTGCAGGGCCGCAGACGGAGCCGGAAACAGAAGTGCTTCAAATAGGGGTAGAGTGAACTCCGGAGTCTTGGAAGACACTCAATCTCAGGGAAGAAAACCCTTAAAGAAAATTACCTGATACTTCTGGAAGGGGGTAGAGGCATGGGGCCAGCACCCCATACTAGGAAAATAAAAATAAGCCGCTCAAACAATCAATGAAAATGAGCCTCGGATTAACTCACGACGTCGACAAAGGTAAAGAAAATGGTCTATGAATTTTGGATGCTGGAAGGTTAAAGGTTTAAGCACTAAATTAAACGAAGTTTTTAACGCAATAGAGGAGTTTAACAAGGATATAATAGTGTTGAAGGGAAATGGAAATGAAAGGAAAGGAAATTATGATCACCTTTTTAGTGGAGTGGGAAAAGAAAAGCGTGCAAGAGCAGGAGTGTCCATAGCTGTATATAAAAGATTTGAGAAAAATATTCATAGCTGGGAAGCAATTGATGAGAGAATAGCATGTCTCAAACTTGTACTACGAGGACACAATGTTTTTATTATAGGATTTTATGATCCAACAGACGATGCAAGTGTTGCAGAAAAAGATATATTTTTAGAGAAACTGACTATGCTGCTGGATTCTATTGGAAATCGCAAAGAAGTGGGGCTTCTAGGTGATTTTAATGGAAGAGTTGGAAAACGAATGGCGCACAATGTTGTGGGGCTATATGGTGAAAATGTATTAAATGACAACGGAGAAAGACTTATAGAGACATGTGAACTGTATGACCTTAAAATATTGAATGACTATTTTCCACATAAAGAAATACATAAATTCACGTGGACCCAACCCACTAGAAATATGCAATCAATAATTGACTACATAATTACTAAACAACAGTCATCAATAAAGTGGAGCGATGTTCTGGTTCAAAGAGGTGCTTCCTGTGGATCAGATCACTACTTACTAAAAGGGAAAGCTTACCTTATGTATAAACCGTACTTCAAGAGTTACGTTAACACAAAACCAAGTACAAAAGGTGGAAAAATAGAGTCAGATGTGGCCGAAATACAATATTGAGAGCCTTTAAGATGATTCCATCGCATTTTTGTACAAATTGCTCATGGCAGAAAAATTAAAGTACATCCCAATAGGAAATACTAAAGAAAAATACCAATTTTTAGAAAAATGCACTCATAAAACCGCTAAAGAAGCTTTGGGAGAGAAGGGAAAATATGAATATAAACAAAAATACTTGTGGACAGAATACATAAAGAACCTGGTCGAAAAGTTATATTTGAGATGGCTTTCCACAAAGGATTTAGAAGACAGAAGTGAATACAACAGAATGAAATATTTGGTCAAGAAAGAAGTGAAGAAAGCAAAAAAAAATGTATTCTGGGAACAAAAATGTGACAGCTAAATTTCAGGGAATAAATTATGAACCACTGCACGTAAATTGGATCACACCAGATGTGACTTTGGAAAAGTTAAAAAAAAGAGTTAAGAAAAATAATAAAGCACCTTGGCCTGGAGGTATATCCATAGAGCTGGTTAAACATTATCTTATTGCAGGTTTGGAATTAATTACTGAAATATTGAATGGCATTTTTAGAGGTAAAATACCTTAAATATATGGAAATTAGCCTATATAAATTCAATTTACAACTGACTGTATGGACATGTGCTAAAGAATAGAATTGAAATGCAAGCATCAGACTTAGAAGAGCAAAGTAGTTTTAGACCAGGAAGATCGTGTATTGACAATAGTTTCTGTCTCAAACAACTGATCGAAAAAACAATTAAGTGAGGATAAGAACATTATATAATTTTCATTGATCTCAAAAAGGCATATGATAATGTACCAGTAAAAGAAGTATGGGGGGGGGGCAATGGAAGAAAAGGGAATATCAACAACATACATAAATTCAGTCAAACAACTTTATAAAGATAACAAAAGTGGGAAAACTTCTATCAGACAACTTCCCAGTAAATAAAGGATTACGGCAATACCACCAACCCTGTTTAAGACATACATTGATAAAGCCCTAAAAGAATAGAAAATAAAGCGCAGAAGCATGGGTGTGAAAATAGGTGATGAAACATTGTTTAGTCTACTATTTGCAGCCGACCACGTGATAATGTCTGAAGATGAAGATGATGTAACGTTTATGTTCAGAAAATTAGTAGAAGAGAATGGAAAATGGGGGATGGAAATAAATTTACAAAAAAACAACAACTGAATATATGGTGGTGGGAGGTATGCACCATGATTTAGAGACTAGTATAGGAATAAAGGAAAAACACAATATAAGTAGTTGGGAGTCACACTAACAGCATATGGTAGAGACGAACAGGATGTGAAAAATAAAAATATAAGAGGAAAAATAGCCACAAGACAGTTGAATCCAGTGTTATGGAACTCAATTATTTCGATGAAGACAAAAAAACGCATATACAGCTCCTTCATGGAGAGTACTACACTCTATGGGGCGGAAGTCTGGACACTACCAAACAAATTGAAAGACAAATTTGAATCAACAGAAATAATGTTCTGGTGAAGATGTTGTAAACTTTCTC